ATGGATTAAAAAAAGTGTGGTACATTTACACAATAGAGTACTACTCAGTGGAAAAAAATCAATGGAATCTTGAAACTCGCAGGCAGAAGGATGGAACTGGAAGAACCCATCCTGAGTGAGATAACCCAGTCACAGAAAGACAAACACTGCATGTACTCACTCATATATGGATATTAGACATAGAACAAAGGATTACAAGACTACAATACACCTCCAGAGAAGCTAGGAAAAAAATGAGGACCCTAAAAGAGACATGCATGGTCCCACGGTGAAGGGGAAAGGGACAAGAGAGCCTGAACAAATTGGGAGCATGTGGGGAGGAGGAGGGAGGAGAAGACGAGAAGAGGAGGGGGTAGGAGTACATGAGGGATCAGAAAGATCAAGTCTGGAGAAGAATAGAGGAGAATAAGAAAAGAGGGAGCCATTATAGGTTTAAAGAGAAATCTGGCACTAGGAAATTATACAGAGATCCATCAGGATGCCTTAAATGCCATTCCCCTATAATGAGAATGATGACTATCTTAAATCCCATCCTAGAGCCTTCATCCAGTAGCTGATGGAAGCAGTAGCAGACAGCTAAGCACTGAGCCTAAGTCCTTGAATCCAGTTGTAGAGAGGGAGGAGTGATAAGCAAAGGAGTCAAGACCAGGCTGGAGAAACCCAAAGAAACAGCTGACCTGAACAAGTGGGAGCTAATGGAACCCAGACTGAAAGCTATGGAAACAACATAAGACCAAACCACGCCTGCTGAACATGGGTGTCAGCTAGATCTGAGCATTGTATAGGGCCTCTGGCAGTGGAACCAGGATGTATCCTAGTGCATAAAAGGACTTCTTAGCCTAGATAAATGGGTGGGTGGGGGACCAGAAGAGGGATGGGATGGGAAGTTGATAGGGGCATGGGAGGGAAGGAGGGGAGGGATCTGGGATTGATATGTAAAATAAGATTGTTTCTAATTTAAATAAAATTTATTATAAAAATATAGTGGATAACTTCCTTTAGAAAACAAAGTTATTTGCATATCAGGATTCAGAATACTAGAAGCTTAATGACTAGAAAACTGACCAGAATAACTGAAATAGGCCTTGTAGGGTTTGTGACAAACAGGAAAGGGAACATGCTGCATTCTTCTTAAAGTACCCTGACTGAGCTCACTAACTTTCACATCAAACCAAGCCTCCGTTGCTTTCATGGCACTCTATGCCCATGAAATAGTTTGGTAAATGTTTATTGTGTTTCTAAAGTGAGATTAATACCTTCAACTCTTTGCTGTGAACCAAGCCAGGCAGTAAATCAACCTTTACACAGTCACTGAAAATGGACCATGTCCTCACTTATGCGATTAAAGATGTTTAATACCTGATTTTCTTTTAACTCAAGTAGCCTATTAACTATAAAGAGAATACTAGATTCCTTGGATTTGGAGTTACCAAAGGTTTTGGAGTTACAGATGCTGGGAACTGAACCCCTAGGGAGCCTGTATAAGAGGAACAAGTGCACTTAACACTAAGACATCTTTCCAGTCCCTGTTATTTGAAACTTTGGACATGAGTTTGTGGTACTATTGGGGGAGATTATGGAATCTTACTGGAGGAAGTATGTCACTAGAGGTGAACTCTGAGAAAGTATAGCCTCATCTCACTGCTATTGCCCTCTCTGCTTCCTGTGACATCTGAAGATGCGATCTCTTGGTTTACTGCTCCAGATGCCTGTTGTACTGCCTGCCTATGGATCCTCTTGAACCACAGCCAAAATAAACTCTTTCTTCTATGAGTGGCTTCTGGTCATGGCATTTTATCAGGGCCATGGAAAAGTAACTAACACATAGATTTAGGTTGTGATCTGGAAGCTCCCACTTTATACTCTGGCAACTATTTCAATTCTTTAAGAATTAATTGCATTGCATACAAAACAATGGGCACCATCTTCTTTATAAAGTTTTATGATGAGCTAACAAAAAGAAAAACAATTAAATGCCTAGAAAACAGGTCCAATAGTCACTGAACAAAAGCTACCTGGTGTTTTCTTAGACACCATAGAAGCTAAGAGCACAAAGTCTGCCACCAGACTCCTGAGACTGGAACCCCAGTTTGCAATTTATATGCCTGTGGTGTTGGGTAAGTAATTATCCCTATCTTAGTTTCTCCATTTGTACAAAAGGATCAGTTGTAAAATCTACCTCATTGAATAGATGTCTAAAGATATGAGTAAGTTATGTGAACTTATAACAGCCCTTGATATTTAACACATGTGCAAGTATTGGCAAACATTGTTTCTATTAAGAACTCTATGTAATATCTGAAAGAACAAATCCAACCACTCAGACCGGAGGTGGCTTTAAGGAAGAGAGGATTCTTTACTATGACAGATGTTTGATGTGAGAAAACAAAATATTATAAGGATAGCTTGGTTGAGCAAAGCATAGTAAATGGTGTAAAAGATGCAGGCATGGGAACAGGTGATCTCCCAATTGAGAAAAAAGAAAACCACACATTTAGGATAGAAGTATGAGGAACACTGAACACAATTTGTGATATTTTAATGTATATTAATATTAAACACATTAAAATACAGTCAAATATATAATAAGGTAAGAACACTAAAGAATGTAAAAATGAGTAAAAAAAAAAAAAAGTAAATAGTTCTCAAAAGAGAACAACAGACAATAATCTATATTATCCAATACTGAAGCTTAGCCAAATACTAACAAAAGCAGCTGGCTCTACCTTATTAGTAGGTTGAGGACATGGCCAGGAAGGTAGGAAATGTGTCCACAGAAAACAGTGTCTTTTCAATATTCTCATTACTCGTCATAGTCTAAGGTCCACTAAAACTGAATATTTTATCATGAGAGAATTTTATTATTATTTATTAATACTACACCAAGAGTTATATCTGGCCATTGACAGACTAGTATAAATAAAATAAGCAAGGGACAAGAGGGTGGAAGATCCTTCCACCGGCAAGACCTAAGTGACATATTTCGAACATTCAATTCATTAACAGTATAATTCATTGCTTCATTTAAGTGACCGCCAAATGTTCAATACCAATTGCATTCTGGATCATAAAACAAACCTCAACAAAGATAAAACCATAGTGTATCTGGCTATGATGACATCAAATATAAAAAACTGATAGGAGAGAGACAGAGGAATGTATCCAAACACTTTGAAACTAAATAATATATTCCTCAACAATCAAACAGTTGGAGAAAAATCTCTTACATAGACATACATAATCTGTACATTTTGGATATAGTGGTAACGTGGTGGCTCATGCCTTTTATCCCAGGACTACGGAGGCTGAGGAAAGAGGATCACCGTGAGTTTGAGGCCTGAGACAGAGAACTTGGTCTCAAAAATAAACAGTCAAAAGGAAGAATGGAATGAACCCAAAGACAACAGAAGCACAAAGCAATGCAATGTACTCAAGGAAAACAAAACAGAAAACCACTGAAACAAAAACGTAACCCGTTTTATTTTATCAATTTTTAATTTAAATTAAAAACAATCTCATTTTTACACACCAATCTCAGTTCCCCCTCCCTCCCATCCTCTCACTTTCCTCACCATCTCCCCATCTCACCCCCCATCCACTCCTCAGGGAGGGTGAGGCCTCCCACTGGGGAATCATCAAAGTCTGTCACATCATTTGGGGTAGGACCAAGGCCCTTCACCCTGTATCTAGGCTGAGAGAGTATCCCTCCATAGGGAATGGACTCTAAAAGCCTGTTCATGCACTAGGGATAAATACTGGTTCCATTGCCAGCAGCCACATAGGCTGCCCAAGCCCCCCAACTGAGACCTCCACCACTGCCTGACTCTATGGCTTGTTAGTATACCTCCTGGGATTAATTGTGTGTATCACCACTGCCTAGCTCTATGGTTTGTGGCTAGCTTTGCTTTTTATACCCTGATGCAAGCTTTAATAAATCATGAATAATATATCACCACAGGTAACAGGAGAACAAAAAGCATCCATAAAATACACTAAATCAACAGGTTAACATAAGAGGAAATACCATGAGTATCTTAGGAGATGACAAAGAATTATTAAACTAAACTAAAAATTATTAAGGGTGCGGTGGCACACATCTTTAGTATCAGCACTTGGGGGCAGAGACAGGAGGATCTCTGTGAATTCCAGGCTCTGTTCTCTAAAACAACAAGTGAAACCATACAAAGCCCAAATCTTTGTAATTTAAAGTCCACAGAAAGTTAAGGAAAGAAGATAGTTTTAACTTGGTACACCAAAGTGTATCTCATACATAGAGGTGAACCACAAAGACAGAAACCCACATAAGATGCAGTTGCTTTATAAAGCAATACTAAAGTTGGAGTTTTATGCAAATGTGTAGTACAAAATGTCAGAAGTATGTTTGTTTATTATTATTTGGACATTCTGTTCAGAATTTATTTAATTTTTGTTTTTTAATTCTAATCATCAGCTCAAACAGCAATTTAAAAAATCAACACATTCCAATACAATAATGTCCTAATTTGAATGCAACAAGCAGAAGAACAATGGTAAGCAAACTGTTTTTAAAGTTTTTGAATTTTTTTTTTTGTAATTGAAGTACCATGTTTCTATAAGAGCAAATTCTCTATATATCCAATAAGAACACTTAAGTTCATAATATATAGCAGCCTGGAGTGTGAGCCAACTAACTTGTTTCAGGCAGTATCCACTGGTGTGGGACATGGGACTGCATGAAGACTTGCAACGCAACGAGGGTGATTGGTACCAGGAGTACCGCAAATCCATCAGACAGTTGGTTTTAAGGTTTGGTACTGTCATCAAATTGAACATGGCCCCAACATGCAGTTCCATGACTCAGTGTGAGATCATGAGACCCAACTTAAAGAGACAGGATCTAGATTGACACCTCAGATTTTTTTAAACATTTGTACACATGCCTAACAGAAAAGGAACTAGAACCACATTTAAACAAACTACCCATATGTTCAACATATCTGTTATAACACAGTTCTCTTTACCTTTATCGTCTGTCTGCTGGTCTGAAATCGCTGATCAGATATCTGCTGTTGATGGAGGAGTTTCTCATTTGCTTCTTTATACTCCTTAGCAGAAGACTCTGCTGCTTTCCTGGCATTATGAAGCAAACTGTTTTGTTGCTGCAAGGATACAATCCGTTCTCGTAATAAAATAGTGTTGCTACTGGATTTCTGGGCAGGTATATTTTTGCATTTTTCTCTGTTAACTAAATAAAAATAATATTGTTCATAATTTATAGAATCAGATCACATTTGTAAAGACACTGTGCTAGCTTCTTATTATACTCTTACCTCTGACAGGAATCACTGTATGAAAAGTCTTCTGCATGCTTCCACTCTTCTTTTGAAAACTCATTTTCTTGGTATTCTTACAATGAGAAATATCCTAATTTTGAAAGTTCCAGAAAAAAATTGGTTACTTCTCAATGACACTGTCAAATTCATATGCCACTTGTAGTTATGTAGGTAAAATGTGTAGACAACAAAATTCTATAACTGACTCCTCAATTATAGCCTCAGAAATCAAACTGAATTTATATTTTAATATAAATGTACAATAAATTTGAAGTTGAACTATCAGGTAGAAGATATAGACACAAAATTAACTCAGAAGAAGTAGAATATAACCTAAGGACAGTTTTAAAAAGTAGGAGTAAATAAAATAAGAGCAATAAAGCATGGGTATTTAATGAAGCCATCTCCAGCAGTCTGGGAGATTTGTTTAGATGCTTCTCCTGTTCTGTTTGAATGTAGATGTGAGAAGCTAAGGGCAAATGAAGTTGAAATGGTGACAACAGCATACTTTGCTTTCCTACTGGGACACTTGGCTCATATTTGGGAGACCTAGGCAAGATCACCTCAAGCTGAAGACTAGCAAGGCTCACATGAGGAGCTCCAAGCCAGCCTGGCTTCAGGGAGCTGAATGGGGGTGTCTAGTGTGGTATCATTCCCAGACTTTTTTTCTGTGTCTCTTCCGGAGACTTCCTACCTAGTCCCCCGATCTGGTAAACACTGTTTATTTCCCTGGGATTAATATACACGAGTCTAACAACTGGGTAGTTACAGTTTGGTATGAATGGTATTAGTTTTTGGAAACTACTGAAGTATTTTCTGAAATGCTACATTATTGCATTCCAAAATCACACCAGCAAAGCCTGAGCTCCATTTTCTCTGCATTTGGATTGCCATTATTTTCATCGAGCTGCCATTTGTGATCTTAACCTGGATTTCCTGAAAGGTTAGTGATGATCAACAACTTTTTGTACTTATTTGCCACTCAGGTATCTTTTCAGGTGAACTGTCTGTCTATTCATGCCTTGCCCACTCTCAATTGGACTGCTGTATCTTTTACAGCTAGACTTTGAGAATTCTTTATCCGACTCAACATGTGAAACTTTTATCAGATACTTGGCACCAGCCATCCTGTCTCACCTTCCAAGTAAGAATTTTGCTTTGCAAAATTTGTAAATTTTAATGCAATCTGCCTTATGAATCTTGGACTGGTATCGGATCTAAAACTTCTTTATTCATTAAACAGTAGGTTCTGAAGAATTTTCTCTTACCTTTCCTTCTACAAGTTTTATAACCTAAATGTCACATTTTTATATGTTATGTGTAAGCTAACTTACACATAAAATTTGAGGTTTAGGTATATAATCCTTTTTGTTTTTTGTTTGCATGGGAATAGCCAACTGATACTGCTATTTGTCAAAAAGACTACCATTCCTTAATTGAAATATTCTTTTCATCTTTATCAATGATCAGTTGCTAAAAATTAAGCAAATTCACTTCTACACTCAGCATTTTATTACGTGGATAAGAAACCTTCCTGCCCTCTATCATCCCATTTGATAACAGAACCAATTTGGGGGGATAAGGATTTATACATATTTTTCAGTTTTGCCATTTTTATTTGGCTTTTCAACATTTTTACTTCTTTGCTGAGATTCTTTATTAACAGGCCCCTGTTTTTTGTTTTGTTTTGTTTTTTCATGTTGTAACCTGTCCATAATTACTCACTGAAGCACTTAACAGTGACATTTCATTTAAAGTGAATATCACATGTATCATATAATTCCATATCTACTGTCAGTCTTTGTCTTTTGTTGACTGATTTTTCTTATTCAAGGGGCAGCATCATGGGTTCTTAATATGTTGAGTAATGCCCAGTTGCATTACTAAATGGCTGTGTTGTGTGTGAAGACTTTGATATTATTTGCATTTTGCTTGTTTGGACATTACTTGGTTGAGACAAGAGGCACAGCATCAATTATACAAGTTGGGGATGGAAGTCCAGTCACTAGAGACACCATAGTTGAAGAGGGGCACATCATTACTGCTTTGCTGGGTGGAAGTTCAGGCTCTCCAATGGGCCTCTGCTTTACTACTGAAGTTGGAAGACAGAGAGAGCCTTGTTAGTGCTTCCACCTGACCAGTGTGACAACTCAAGGAGGCTTGGGGGCTTGTTAGGTATGAAGTAATGAAAGTCTCCTCTGTGCTTGGCTCATGAAATCACCCTGCTAGGAAAGAAGGGGAATGTCTCAGATGACAACAGATGTTCAGGACTTTCTGTCGTCTCCAGTGCCCTGAAGAAGGAGTCAAGGCTCCCTGTGAATCCTCTAATACCTTACCCGGATAGGAAGAGGAGAGATGAGAGCTGCCTCCTTATAAATGACAAGAGAGTCAAGGTACCCAATAGGCTTTTATTGTTGGAGGTTGTGCTTTCCAGGGTATTTAGTTGATATAAGACAGTTAATACGTAAAGTTTTCTGTCTTGCTATGCTAACCCTCTCTTCATCCTCCAATTGGAAAGAGCACGATGTAATTAGGGGCTTGTATTGTCTCTATTATTAGTTTACGGGTTTCAGGTCTCTCAGTGTCTAAGGGAACTCAGTGTCAGGGAACTCAGATTATTCAACGCTATGTTGAACCACAAGACCTGAGGTTCCCATCTGATATTTTTACTTTTCCTTCAAATTTCAGAGAAGTTTATTTTAGTATATATCAATTTTCCTACCTATATAATGGAAAAATAGATAAATCGGATCATATTAGAATTAATATATTATCTTATTTATAGGTACCATCTAGTACGACAAAAAGTATAGGAAAAGATATCTCATACATACACACACACACACACACACACATCATATATATGTATATGTTTGTCTGTTTGGAAAATATTATAGTTCCTCACCTGGTATATTCTATATATAATAAAATAAAGATAATTTGCTTATAAAATAGACAGACATGAAAAGGCAGTTTAGTAAAGAATTACAAATGGTCAAAAAACACAAAGAAAAGACTCAGTATCTTGGTAATCACAGAAAACCTTCCGTGATGAATCTCAAACATACAGAAGTGGCTGAAATGAGAAAGCCTAATATACTAAGTGATGAGATTTTCATTACCACCTGGGGTGTACAGAAAAGTGGCCCCAAACTTAAGAAAGTAAAAGTGCCAACCTCAAATTTACTACAGAAATGTCCATATTTATGCAACAAAAGGAATATACAAGAATATTTATTGCAACATTATTTGCGGAAATTCTGAAAGGAAGCCTCTCAAATTCCAAAAGTATGTTTGGCAGTGTGTGACATATTCAGACAACAAAATGCTGTTTACAGGACTTAAAATGAATGAACTGTGAGTAGTAGAGAACAAGAAAAGCCAGGTACTAGAGGCTCCGTGACCTACTTCATAAAGCTACAGAGAGAAAACTTAGTCATAACCCTAGCAACAGAAGTGACTGAATTAAAGTCAAGATAATGGTTATTCCAGGAGTTGATGAGAGAGTCTAATATTTCCCAAACACACTGGCTACAATTTGGTTATTTATTTCCTGCTAAAATCATTCATAGATTTAATCAAAAGTGTTTACATTTGCTTTCAATGTCAATGAGAACTTGAATTTCTTCAGTTTACACACTCATTAGGCTACACATGTATAATTACAACTAAACAACAGTCTATCAAGTACTATGCACCAACAAAAAGGTATACATTTCTTCGTTCTATTTCACATTCTTAAAAACAATTACGAGCATATTATTAGTTTTTTCATTCTTTCCTTTGTCTGAGAGATAAGAATAATTTAATATTTATAAAATTGGTGAGTATTTCAGTTTTATTTTGCATATAGCAAACTGTTTTGAAAATGATTAAAAAGTGTTTTTACTATTTTCAAGAAGACATAATTTTTAGGGATTCAAATTCAATCAGTGGTGCAATGTATTGATTTAAGTTACACAGAGACAAAGCTGAGGACATAGTGTAGAACTACAGTAAGCGCTATCACACCTTCAGGGCCTTGCTGTCCTCATGTGAGTATGTCTGCATTTCCCTTTGCTGAACGTAGCTGTCTTCTGTTTGATCAATTTCTTTCTGGTCTCCATTGTCTTCTATAGGGCTTATTTTCTGGGATGTTTCCACAATAATTGTTCCCAAATTTTGAGAGGTTTGTGTTTCAGAATCATCACTGCTTTAAAAAATAAAAAAAAGGGGGTGGGGGGAGAAATGAGGCTACAAACCTCAACAAGACACACTCGCATATGCACATCTCTAAACTTGATAGCCAAATGGTATTATACCATACACCATATACAAAACTGCAAATCTAATGTAAGCATCATTGGTTCTCAATATTAAAATCCATTTAGGCGTATTTACAGATTTGAACAATTTCATCAGGAAACTAGATACCTGGCATCAAAGCCATCTAACACTTCTGTAGCATTCTGTGGAGAGCCAGCTCAGGAAGCACACGCTGCCTCACTGTCAGAGTTTCTATGCCAAGACACACTGTGCTTAATTTTTTTAAACAGAAAAACATTTCCCATTAGGTATACATATTTTTATCTCTTGGGCTTCTACTGTGGGCTACAGTTTCCTTCCTTATGATTGAAATAGTATATCCACTATGAACCGAGAACTTTTGTAATGTAAGGATTAAAGTGGTAAGTAAATAAAATAGGGAGAAACAATCTGAAAACATTGCCTTCTTGTAACTTGTGTCATCCCAGTGATTTGGAAGACAGAACCAAAGAAAGACAAGTAAGATACACAGTACACTAGTAGTGATGTGTTCAAGAGAAAAACAAATTAAGCCATGAAGAGATTAGACATTTTGAAGGTCATTTACTAGCCTTTACAGACATGTAAATTAGAACTATATTAAGAAGTCATCTCACTCTAGACAGAATGGAAGTCATTCCAAAAACGAACAACAACAAATTCTGGCAAGGAAGTCAACAAAAGAGAACTCATATAAAGCCCTGAGAATGAATATCAGAGCAACCACTGTAGAAATCAGCATAAAAGTTCAAAAACTAAAACTAGATTTCCCATGTGATTCAGCTAGACCACTCTTGGTTACTTACCCAAAGGACTTTAAGTCAGTATACAAGAGATACTTGCATAATGTTACCGCAACATTACTCACAATAGCTAAGTGATGGATGCATCAACACAGGGATGGATGAAGATGATGTATGTGATATAAAGAACACAGTGGAATTATTTTCCTCCAGGAAGAATGAACTTTCAGTGTTTGAAAGAAAATGGATGCAACTGGGGATAATCACTAAGTGATAAAGTTATTCTCAGAAAGACAAATCTCATGTTTTCTCTTATTCACAAATAAGGTTCTATACAGATGTATAAAAGCACATCTGACATGATGTGTTTTTATAAGTCTGTGTAGAAAATAGATGTCATTTGAACAAGAATGGTTCACATAGGCTCATACATGTGAATGCTTAGTCACCAGGTAGCAGATAACTATTAGGAGAGGTGGCCTTGTTGGAGTAGGTGTGGTCTTGCTGAAGGAAGTGTGTCACTGAAGGTGGACTTTGAGGATTCGAAGCCCATGCCAAGCCCAGTCTCTCTCTCTCTCTCTCTCTCTCTCTCTCTCTCTCTCTCTCTGCCTGCTGCCAGAGGATTGGAATGTAAACTTCTCAGCTTCTAATACAGTACCATGCCTGCCTGTACATTGCCATACTCCCTGCCATGATGATAGTGGACTAAGCCTCTGAAATTTTAAGCAAGGCTCTGATTAAATGCTTTCCTTTATAATAGTTATTCTGGTCATAGTGTCTCTTCACAGCAATGGCACAGTCACTAAAACAGTAGGAGTGAAACTATTTAGGAAAACAACAGAGAGTGTGGGAGAGAATGGGTGGAATATGTTCAGAGCACATCAGAGACTTGTACGAAAATATAACGCAATGCCATGTAGAATAAAAACCGACCAATAAACATTATTTTTAAAACAAAGAAACAGAAGTTGTAAAGTTGAGGAGGACATAAAAGTAACTTTCGCATGGATATATTTTAACCATTTTTACACAGACACATACTCATTGAGACATCTTTAGGAAAAAAAAAAAAAACTCATGGCTTGTTCTAATTTTCCAAATGGAAATGATCTTCAGATGCTTTACTGCCTTGACCTCTCAAGAACATGCTCTAGCTTATGCTGATAACATGACAAGAATTCAAATTCACACCCTAATAACTGTCCAGTAATTGTTAGAACTTCTAAAGGCTAAAATTATGTAAGTCTCTCTGGTATGTCCATTCTAAATGCCCATACAGGAGAAAGCAGATACAAAACACAATACATTTGAAAGGTTATGCAGTATGATATAAGGTAATAAAAGCCACTGGAAAAATATTGAAGAAACTGTCTGTGTCAGTGATTACCACATACAAAGCAGAGAATGGGAAAGTGTGGAAATTAACTCCATCAAAAGGTGCTGATAAGTCAAAGGAGGCAAGGATTGAAAGTTGTCCTTTGTACTCAGCAATATAGAAAAATAAAAGGTTCTAGAAAAGTGATGGGTTTAAAAAAGATGGAAATAAAGAATAAAGAATGCTTTGAGATATTGCTGTCAAGGGCAACAGAATCAGCCAGACACAAGAGTAGTGATAGGTACAGCCAGACTTCTCATTTCCAGACATGATTCTAATTCCACCTCAATTAGGGTAATAGATGTGACTAATATGGTGCCTCCCTCTGCTGACTGTTAATACAGTAGACTGAGGAGCTAAGTGGAAACAGTCCTAGCTACTGACTCCACAAAAAGCAGTGGGTTTCCCAAGGGAAAGTTATTCTGCCTTGAGTAATAGAATCCGTGTTTTCCTGTTGTTGGGAAAAACAGGATGACCAATAGCAATCTAGGGAGGGAAACATTTGTTTCAGGTTATTGGTAACTGTCCATTATTGAGGGAAGCTGGGCTGGAACTCAAAGAAGGAGCCTAGACCCCAGACCATGGAGGACTCCTGATTACAGGCCTGCTCCCAGGCTCCCATTCAGTTACCTTCCTTTTGTAACCAAGGGCCGCCTGTCCAAGGATAGTACCACCCACAGTGGGATGAGGCCTTTTATAACAATTAGAAATCAATAAAATGCCTCAAAGACATGCCCACAAGCTAATGTGGTAGAGGCAGTTCCTCAGCTGAGGTCCCCACTGCCACATGTCAGGCTGACAACCAAGATAAACCATTATAATCCTCAAACTACTAAGCTCAATGTTATAATGATGAGAAGCAAAATCTACAATGAGTTATTTAGTTAAAAGGTGACAGAGGACAACTTTAACTTGTAAGATTTATTCTTGAAACCTTGCATTGCTAGCAATGAAATAAATAGAAATATTATAGAAATATTACAGCTGCTTCCTACAGCTGATGCCATAACTAAGCCCAAAACAGACTATCCACTGTTCCAAATAGTCTGTTTTTACTGTATAATGTGGTAAGACCAGAGAATTCCCTGATAAAGTTTATTATCATATATTCTTTCCTAGTAAATGTGTCTTCAACTCTGTGGAATTGTTATATAAGATATAATAGAAATATATATGCAAGTCCAAAGATGTGACATTTATAAAAGTCCAAAGGAAAAAGCATGCACAAAACAATTAGCTGTTATCAGAAAACAACTTGATGCCACTTACGATTGAAGAGGTCCACTGTAATCACCCGGAAGCTAAGGGGCTGGCTAGCTCCTCTGGAGAACTGTGCCACAGTGGGGGCATGGAATTGGCTTCTGTTTAATATTAAATGGTACCAGTAGCAGGGTGGGTCGTAGTGAGAAGCCAATTGTCTTTGATTCATGCAAATGTGTGGCCTCTACTGCCACAGCTAGCTAGTCTGTTCATTACAGGAAGCAAAATGGCCACATGGTGGGTCACTCTGCACACGCGCGTAGGCATTGATCCTGTTCAAAAGGTCCATCTAACTAACTCCCATGAAGTTCCTTATCACTAGTCTTCCAAGTTTTTGATATATGAAGAACAATTCATGTAATTTAATCTCTCAGTACTTAATTTCAAACTTCTTTTTGAGGGGAATGATGGGCTTTGGACAGTATATTTTTAGAGGCTACAGGATAAGTGTGTACAAGTATATATTTTCAGGAGTTAGATCATGTTATTATGGAGTCCAGAAAATACAAAATCTGCATGTAGGCCAGTAGACTGGAGATCCAGAAGTGCCAATGGTGTAACTGTATTCCAAAAACGGCAGGCATACACTGTGTTTCAGGGATTAATGACCCAGTTCAGCCTGAAGACCTGCAGGCAGCATTCCAGGAGAGCTGTTAGAACAGTTGGAAAGCTAAAGAAGACTCTACAGAATTAATTCCCCCCTGTTTCCTGTTGTTAATTTCTATCCTTAATTTTTATGAGGAATTTGCACGAACTAATAAAAATCTGAGCACTTGGGAGGAAGAGGCAGGAAGATCGGGATTTTGAAATCAGTCTGTCATGCAGGAGATAATGTATCAAAATACTTAAAAAAAATCTTCTCTGCTTTCAAGCTTTATCAAGTGTTTTAATGGAAAACAGCTGCTAACTGAAGAACACGCCACAGATCATCTCCTTGTATTCTACTCAGTTATCAATCTGTGTGGATCTGACCCATTTCCATCCTAGAAAACAGGATGTATGATCTAGTGCTCATTCAAAGTTAACCGCACCTAAGCACACCCTCCAAGTTAATGCATAAGATTAACTCTCACAAACCTGTTGAGAGAGACAATAAAACATGGAAGCTGACAGCAGTCCTCCAGCACCAACAGCTATTATTCACACACCAGACTTTCATTACAGTTAAGAAGAGATCATAGAGCCTTGTTTAGTATTATTAAAGAAAAGATACATTACCAGCTCGGACTCCCTGAACATGAATCTCAGTTAGAAGGCCTGGGTAGTCTAAGGGACCTCTGACAGTGGAACCAGGATGTAACCCTGGTGCACATTCCCAGGGAGGAATACTCCCTTAGCCTAGAAGCAGGACAGAGTGCCTAGTCCCTACTCCAAATGACTTGACAGATTTTGATGATCACTCCTGGAAGGCATCACCCTACATGTGGAGTGGGGGTGGGGTGGGGTTGGGTGGGATGAGAGGGGTTTAGAGGCATGGGAGGGAGAGGAAACTGGGATTGATACGTAAAATAAGAAAAAATTATAGATATACATACATACATACATGCATGCATATATATATATATATATATATATATGAAAAGATACATTTAAAGGCATTTTAACTATTTTTCTGTTGCTATGAGGAAACACCATGACGAAGACAACTGACGAAAGAAAGCATTTAACTGGGGACTTGCTTGCAGTTCAGAGGCTGAGGCCATGGCTATCACAGTGGGGAGTTAGTGGCAGGGAACAGCAGGCAATATGGTGCTGGAACAGTAGCCGAAAGCTTACATGTTGAGACAACAATCACGAGGGGGGGGGCTATGAGAATGTTAACTGGGAATGTCAAAGGCTTTTGAAGCCGCAAATGCCCACTCTCACTGACACTGCCTTCAACAAGGTCACACCTTCACCTTATCCCTCCTGCTGTCTTCTCTTTGCCCTTTTTATACTCTCTAATTAGCCTCCTTTCTACCTTATATATTCTATGTAGTCCTGCTTTTGCCTTCATCAACACACACAATATATATATTAACATATGAAAATAATAACTTACATAAAAATACATACATGAATGAAATAAAACATTTTGTCTTTCTCCCATTATCCTCTAGAGTTTTCCCATCTCCCTGTCTGTAAACCTCTTCATTGCTCCTCATATTTCCTATTGTACTCTCTTGTCAGAGGGATAGATAGATACAGGCAGACAGACAGATTCTTACATTTCAATCCATATTCTACACATTAGAAACGAGTCCTTGTCTTTCTGAACCTGGTTTATGAACGTCTGCTTTTCTTTCCTCATTACTACAGAATGAACACTGTCAACTTGATACAACCAAGAGGAACTTGGGAAGAGGGAACCTCAAATGAAGAACTGCCTCCATCAGACTGCCTGTGGTTTTGTCTGTGAGGTAGTTTGTTGATTATGGAGGGGGGAAGGGCCCAGCCTACCATGGACAGCTACATCCTAGGCAGGCATTGAGTCTGTAAGTGAGCTGTAACATCTTAGGTCTCTGCTTCATTTCTTGAAGTTCTTTCTGTAACATTTCCCAACGTTGATCTGTGACCAGAGGGATTAACCATATACCCCCTTTCTTTTCTGGAGCTGCCTTTTGTCAGTGTGTTTTACTATGCAAAATCAACAAGAATAAACATGCTCTTATAAACTGTATGAAATAAATAACAGATGATGAGTATATATTGTTACTGTATATTACATACTTATTACTAAGTTCCATTTTTCTTAGTACTAAATAGTCTTCTTACACTCTATGTCTCAGGGTTTCTATTGTGGAGATAAAATATCATGACCAAAAACAACATGGGAAAGAAGGGATTTATTTCATCTTACAGAGCTCAGGCCACAGTCCTTTGCTGAGAGTCAGAGCAGGAACCTGAGCCAGGAACTCATCCACAGGCTATGGAGGAATGCTGTTTACTAGTTTGCTCCCCATAGTTGGCTCAACCTGCTTTCTTATACATCCTGGGACCACACACCCAGATATGACCCTGTCCACAGTGAGCTGGGCCCTCCCACATCAGTCATTAATCAACATAATGCTCTGCAGACTCAACCTGCCCACAGCATTGTGACAGAAGCATTTCTTCCACTGGGATTCTTCTTCCTAGGTAACTTAGCCTGTGTCAAGTTGACAAAAAAAAAAAAAAAAAAAAAAAAAAAAAAAAAAACTAAGTACCACACTATAGAAAACTAGAAGAAATAGGCTCTCATGAGCATCGGTGATGTTCCACTGCATAATTTCTAATGTGTGAAAATTCTTTGCAGCTAAATGATTTTTGAGACTATTTTGCCAAGTAGGAAGTATAACAACATCACTGTTGAACAACTTAGATGACATTCTTATATTAAAAAAATATAGTGATATTTCTTCAAAATATATTGTTTTATGAACATGCATTGATATAATGAAACTGAATATATTATCTAACTTTTATGTATTTATCAATGTACATAGACTCAGACATAAATAAGCTATACAAATATATTGTGAAAAGTGCAGGAGTATTCTATTGTTGAGGTACAGACTGCAGTTGACACTAAATACTGGTTTTCCTTGAAGATATGGATAAATACTTAGTGAACTTTGAGTTGGGCACTATTTTATTTACAATTACTTCTGAGACTAGGGAAGAAGAAATTGAGATAAGGTTAAAAAAAAGGGAAAAATACAGATTTGATCCTCTGGTTTTGTCTTCATAAATATGTATTGTAAAAAGTCTCTCTCTCTCTCTCTCTCTCTCTCTCTCTGTGTGTGTGTGTGTGTGTGTGTACACATAGCAGAGGACAGTTCATAGGAGTTGGTTCTCTCCTGTCATAATAATCCTAAGGATGATAATCATGTCAACAGGTTTGGTACAGGCATCTTTCCCCAGTGAGCTATCTCACTTGCCTCACATGACTTTTTAGTTTCTTTATCTGTACAAAGACTAGGAACTTTGGTTTGTAATCACTTAAAATGCTTCCCAAACTGGAACCAGATAACAATCTTAAAATAAAACTGATGTTTCTAGTCTATCTCAAAAATACCGCAGAAGAGCTTAAACAAAATAAAACTAGAGAAAATAAATGTAGGTGTATATCATTATGAAACAAGGCAGAAAACTTAATACCATGGCAAAGTGGACAACTTGCTAGTAACTCTAACAATGAACTTCTTTATTACACAGGTATAAGTAAGATATGCTGTCATTCCTTTGCCTTTGTGCTTCAATATATATATATGAGTATACAGTCAGACATAAGACCATGAAATCATGATATGTAGAGACTTCTAGTATTAGCATCTTGATATTCAGTGGGGGCTAAATGACTCAAGAATACAAATGTGTACAACTCTTAAGTAAACTTAAACTTCCATCCAGTTAAAGTTTGTACAATGACTTTCCATAATATTCACATGAAATAATTAGTAAAGATGGTTCTTAATTTAAAGGCTGTTAAACAGCTTGTAGACATCTGGTAACAAGCTGAAATGGGTCATTCAAAATTTATCTAACTAAATTAAGGGGGAAAAATGTTTCTCCTCCCAGGTTGGCATGTCACAAGATAACTAAACCGACTTAGTAGGCTTGCCTGGGAATCCTTAGCTGTCAGTGGTGAATATGCAAAGGGCCAGCAAATTAAATCAACCTGCCAAACTGTCAATTTCAAGCCTCATGACTGCATGAAAATAGCATCACTGGAAGAAATCAAGCATTGCCTTCTTTTGGGTTTCCTGGCACCTATTCAAATACTCATGCAGTTGTGGCTAATTTTGCATGCAAATTTCAGTCAATAAGCTCAGAACAAGACCTCCCAAGATATTTCAAAGGCTCTGACAGTATTTTTTCTGAATACCAAATCGACAGTAGTTGAAATTCAATCTCCATTTGCCAGTGCTTTACATATGCACACTGTCCCCACCACAGAGCTAAGTTAATGAGAGCCTTCCTTACCTGCCTTCACTCACATCCTCCCAGCCGTCCTTGCTGAGGTTCTCAACATGGCTCATAACCTTGATGGAGTGATTGAGAAAAGTGTGGTGGCGACCCACAGAGATCTTTTTCTTGGCAGCTTTAAACTTCACCTTAGTAGTGGTTGTCTTGCAGCCATACTGCCGGGCTTTCACATCTGTGGTGGCTATCTCAGATTTAGCTTTGTCTGGGGGACATCCGTGCAGTTTCTCCCCTTGACTCGCAGCCTCTTCACTGTCATTTCTCAAAGCCTTGGCTTCTGCTACTTGTCTCCTCAGGGAAGTGACTTCCCTCTCCAGCTCAGTGATTTTTGTTTGAAGCTCACATTTGTCCTTTTCTACATCTTTACTCACCTTCAATAGGTGCTCTATCTCTCTTTCTCTCACCTCCGAATCGTCTCGATAGTGTTTTAAATGGGATTTCAGTACATCATTTTCTTTCTTCAATCTTTTATTCCCCTCTTTTAACTTTCTTGACTTTTTCTCAAAAGACTTCAGCCGATTTTCCAACTCAATGACCTAAGCAAGGAAGTTTAATTTGTTCCTTTAAAATGTAAAACCATAATCGACTTAATTTTTAATTATCACTTCTAACTGATGAAAGGTAGTTACATTTAGTACAAGGACAAAATAAATCTAAAGCACTTAATTTCTAAATAATTCTAGGGAGATGTGGGTGAATACATTCAGAAATGCAATAATGCACCTGCTGAATAAAGGACAGATGGTAAAGAAGGTAAAAATCCCATGCAAAATGATACAGGAGTAAGGATGTGAGTGAGCTACAGACTGTAGATGCTTTGGTTATACATTCTAACTGTGGAAAAACGATTTTCAGAGAAATAAACTGTTCATAGAAATAGCCTTAAAATAGGTTCATGGAGAAAATAGATTCAAGTAAAAACTTAAAAAACACATTAAAAAGTGTTGACAAAATAAATAATCTGTAATGGATTTATTTCTAAATTGGAAAAGTACCATTTTAATTCTCATGTGATCCTTGTTTTATGGGGTAAAATACTTCCCCAAAATGTTCAACAATCTAAAATTATAAGAATTTGAAGGTTACTTATAAATAAAATGTTTCCATTTATTTCAATAAATATTGCTCCTATTACAGGACATAGCTATGGTCAAATACATTCCAAACCTTATCAACCGCCATTGGAAAGACATACACTTGCACATCTTTAAAGTAATATCTGATAGGATGTAAATGCTGTAGGTCTAAACATCAAGGACAGAATTATAACACAGAAGGAAGCTTGGATTTAAAACTTGAAAAATAGCAAAAGTTGTTATTTGGAAAATAACACTTTGTGATTTTTCGAAATAGTTTTATAACTGAAACAGAAACTCAAAAACTGCTTTTGCAAGGAAGCACTGGCTCTTCATTTGAGCCCGTGAGATGATTTACAGCAGAAAGCCGACTTTGTTTTGCATGTGTATGTTGGCTCAAGAAAGAGATTAGTTACCATCTCTAGTCTTGCCTATTGAGTCATCTAGAATTCCACAAAGAGCCACAGGGTCAGACAACTCTACACATCCAAATGAGGATAGCTACCCACGAGGCCAAAAGGCTGCATTCTCAGGTAGTAACAGATTAACAATTTAACATGTTATTGGACCACTTTGATGATGGCTCTAAGCTGACATAATAATGGGCAGAACACACTTTGACCAAGACCAATTCACACCTTCTATTTTAAACTCACCCTAGAGCTCATGTCAGTACATATTATATGGACTATAGGAGAAAGCTGCCATGGGAGCCCTTTATTCATTCCTTTTAGGAATGTGTTTGGGGCTGGAGAAATAGCTCCAGCATGACAATCTGATTTTGATCCCCAGAACTTACATACAAGAAGCCACAATATTCTAGAGGGGGAGAGACAGGGACAGGTGGACTTCTGCTCCTCACTGACCAGCTAGCCTAACCTACTTGACAGGTGAGTGAATTCCAAGCCAATATGAGGCTATGAGGCACTGTCTTAGAGAGAGAGAGAGAGAGAGAGAGAGAGAGAGAGAGAGAGAGAGAGAGAGAGAGAGAGAGAGAAAATGGTGGATTGTTCCTGAGGTGGTCTGAGATCTACACAAGTATGCATATGCACACCACAGCACACACATAGGAATACACATGCAAGAAAGAAATTCAGATGGGTCTAATGTTGGAAGCTTTTGAACCTAGCTACTCAGGACATGAAGGACAGAAAGCTGCAAGCCCAAGACCAGCCTGATCTACAGAATGAGTTCAAACCCAGCCTGTGTAACTTATAAGACCCCGTATGTATGTATGTATGTATATGTTCATATACCATTTTGTTGAACCTGATAATGTATTTTGTAAACAGAAGTAAATTGAGACAAATGCTACAATTTGAAGGCAGCATTTAACTATCAATAATAATAGTGCTTTATTGTGACTACAGGTTGACATAGACTATGCTATTAAAACATGGAAAACATATATATTTATATGTATAAAACTCTATATACTTTTCTATAATATATATATATATATATATATATATATATATATGGGAAAATAGATTGTTGGTAAATAACTTGCCTAGCATGCATGAAACCCTAAATTCAATCCTTAATGACACATAAATATAAATAATCATTAGTTAAAGTATTAAATTTAACCATGAAATTTTAAAAAAAATGACTGCTACAACTTCTAGTATTAAAAAGTAAGAAATTAAGAAATTAATATGCTAATTTGATTCAAATCCAATGAAAATGATTGCTGTTCTTTTTCTGGGCCTAAATACATTTCTCTATTTATAATGTTAGTTGACATTTGTGGAAGATGGAAAAAAGTCATAGTTTTTTTTTTTTTTTTAGCCTTTCTCCTCTAGAGGAATAGTCAAAGATTATGAATCTATACAAACAAAACTATATAAAACAGCAAAGAAAAAATACTATTTTGAAATAAAGCTGATATATTAATACAAAGTATGAAATATCTAGTTGATGGTACATTGATGACATCCGTTTTTCACTTTTCTTCAACATGAATGAATATGAGCATGTCTCATTCTCTTGCTTATTATGTTAACCTGGTATGTGTCATTCAGTAGTACTGGTGTGACATCCTTTGTTATAGGACAATGGCAAGTATAGGAAGTACAACAATTGCTGTAGTTCATGAAAAATACCTACAAGAAATAAAGGTAGTAAAGCAAAATTGTTTATACGTGTCTACATTTTCAGTTTGTTTGTGAACTGATGCTTTAGGAAAATCCCAAACTAACCCAGGGCAGCAAGATAACAATCAATAAGTAAGTATAATATTAAAAGATGAATTTTCAATAATACTGTCAGTGTTTATACACTTGAAACAATTTCATTGAACCTGATAATATATTTTGTAAACAGAAATAAATTGAGACAAATGCTACAATTTGAAGGCAGCATTTTACCATCAATGACAGAAATGCTGTATTGTCACTACTGGTTGACATAGACTGTTCTATTAAAACACAGAAAACTACATTAATCATAGGCTAAATTTTTATTGTCAATAAGTCACACATATTTTCAAGTTTAAATTATAAAGATATCACCATTTTACTGTGACAGAGCTATAAATTTTTTAAAAAGCACAATTTATGACTATTGCAGAAGAGCAGAACTTTCTGACCCATTTGTAACTTTAACTGCTTACTTATAATTAACGAGTACATATATTCTAAATTTTGTTAACTTTTCTTCTTTCCTTTTTCTCCTCTCCATCTATAAAAATATTTTTAATCTATGTCCAAGGAAGCACAAGCATTTACACATTTATTTCTCTAACATTGATTTTTTTTACCCCATTTTGGCAAGCCAATGATTTTGAATTATGAATTTAAATTAAGGATTCACACAAGGTTTAAGTTCATGAGCTCTCGTTTTAAAATATAATCCTTTATGGTAAAATTCAGATTTAACTTGCTCAGCTCAATATCTTAAAGATTAGACTACCTTCTGTAATGTCTGCTCCGGTATTGCTTTCTCATTCTTCTCTGGAGTACTCTTCTTGACCCCAACATCTTCATGGTATCTAAAGAGTTGTTCTGAAGCAAATAAATAACATATTATGGTATATCACATATTGCTAAAACACTGTACTGTCATTTAAAGAGGAAAGTTTTATGGTTTTACAATTATGAATATTCTGGTCTATTGTCAAGTATTTGGCCAGAAATAAATGGTGACCTTTCTAAAGATTCTAAAGTTTTTTTTTTTTTTTTTTTTGTCACATAATTATGCCTCTTTGTAGTGTCACATTTTTTCCCCTGCAGTGTTGGGACTTTCAAGGGTACAATAGATCTGCAGGTTAACAATGCTATACCTTCATTTCCATGTTCATTCTTTTGTAGACTATTCTGTCTTTACCTTAAAAGCGGGATTCAGTGCCGTTTTATCTACAGCCACTACTAGTTTTGTTCTGCTGATCCTGTTCCCTGCCAGGAGGATCAGAGTGATGGCTGAACAAAGCAAACAGTAACAGAATTAGTGACTGAAACCGTAACAGTGCAGGAACCTTTCCTTCCAGGGAAAAACCATGCATGGGCAGATTAAACCATAAAAGCCTCATAGCTGGATGAACTGTGGCTTCCTAAGAAATAAGCCCACATTCATGGGCAAAGCTGTTTGACAAATCTCTCCTGCATGGGCTGGCAACTAACTACACAGCTTTCTCAGTGCAGCAAAAAACCTGCAAGTAATTTACCAAGTTAAGAAACACACTGTCATAAATTTTTCACCAATAGTATAATTCACTAGTTTTTATTAACAGATAAGTTACAGTGATAAAGTTACCTTTTTTTTTTTTTTTTACTATATTCTTCAACTGTCTTTTAAGTATAATGTTCTTAGAGAACAAAGCAAGGATCAGTAAAGAATGCACAATGCTAAGAGGGTATGCATCTGTACTACCTTACTTTTACTTTAAAGTAAGCCTGACTGCTGTAGGTCAGTGTAAAACTTTGATTTATCAACAAAGGGAGAGAAAACAATATTATTCTCTGTAGAGTAGAAATCCTCCTGATAAAAACAGTGACTAACAAGTTTGTTAGAGTGAATTAGGCATTTCTTTTGTCTTTGAAACATGACATACTCAATTAAAACTTCTGTGCTCATGAAATAAATAGAACGCTGTCCTAAGAATCATAAAAGCTAGAATAGGTAGAATTTGCCTCTTGGGGGATACATACCTTTACCTTGATAATAATCTATCAGCTCCCAGGCTTCTTTTTCTAGTCCCCTAACACCATGGTGCTGAATTCATTTACAGCACTCTTCAGCAATATAGACATAATATGCAAATATAATTCATCTCTTCTAGTCATTTAAATATCTCCTATAGTTCTGAGTGAAGTATTTGTCCTTAAAAATAAAATAATAGTAATATATTCACTTAGCACAGAGGACAAACAACATCTATATATTGCTAATGAAATAAACACTGAAGAATGGTTTTTAAAAGAATTTCTTTGCTGCCTGTTTGGTCCTAGGTATATGCAAGGAATACTGGACAGATAGCTGGGCAGGACAGAGTAGCTGGGTATGTTCACCTGTGGCTGTCTCCCAGAAAGATGTTTTTCTTGCCTTTATATCTTCGATAAAAACACTAAAGCAGTTAGGCTCAGACTATGGAGTGAAACAAGGAATTTACTCTTAGCCATTTCAGTTCAAACATCTCAGGATGTGGAAACTGAGGTAAGAGGGCATAGTGAAGACAATGGACTCTCTCTCTCTGTCAGCAAGTGTGCTTAATTCTATAAGAGATTTATTTTATCACATGGTTTAAATGCTTTAATTTTTACTAGCGTTAAAATTCTTCCAAATTTATGTTCTTTCTTTTTCAGAAATTACTTTTCTTTTCGTGCATTTAAATACTAACTTTGTTAAAATTTCGTTTAAATTTAAGCCTGGTAAACAGAGTTAATTCCAGGACAGATAAAAGTTACACAGAGAAGCCCTGTCTCAAAAAATTAAAAAATAGAAGTAGAAGAAATAGAATATTAAAAAAAGCCATGTAAAGATGGAAAGCACAGAGGAACTTTGGATACTATATGCTGTTCTATTATCTTTAAATTGTTTGACTGCTGAGGAAATAACAACTGTTAAAAGAAATTCTACTGGATTAATTCAATTTATATATTTTAAAAATCCAGTTCAGACCAGTTCTATCTGGTTCAGACCAGTTTAGACCAGCTCAGACCAGTTCTATCCGGTTCAAACCAGTTCAGACCGATTTTGACAGGTTTGGTCTGGTTGAAACTGGTTTAGACCGGTTGTATCTGGTTCAAAACAGTTCAGGCCAGTTTGATCTGGTTCAGATCCGTACAGAGCTGTTTTATCCAGCTCTATCCAGTTCAGACTGGATCAAACTGTGTCTATCTGGTTCAGACTGGTTTAGACAGGTTTGATTGAGTTTAGACAAGTTCAGACTGGTACAGACATGTTTAATCCAGTTCAGACCAGTTGGATCTGGTTCAGACTGGTTTAAACTGGTTCAATCCAGTTCAAACCAGTGTTATCCTTTTCAAACCAGTTCAATCAGGTTTAGACTGGTTTAATCACTATAGCTTTGCTTTCTGTTGAATTTAAGTTTTACTACATCATTGTCAGAAGGATACACTGACATATTTCAAAATTTATGACACAATAGTTCATTTCACAAATCAACAAATTAAGCCAGAGAAATAAATGATATACTGAGGCTCACATACAAATCAGTAAAGCACTGAAATACCAAATGTATTTCCCAAATGCCTGTATTTCCTTAAGCACACCGTTTTTCTTTACTAATTTAATGTTATTCCACATGTTAGCATCCCCAGGTTAAAATACCAAAATCTCTTTTAAAAAATAAGCTCCCTTTTCATGCTAATCTTTTAACATACAATAGTCTTAACTCCTTTTTGGGGTAAGGTAGAATAGGCATAGATAAAAATCAATGCAATTACAGGTAGAGAATATTTGAATATTAGTCCAAAGGTCTTTAGTCTAGAAGTCAGTGTTTCATATAGAGCAGCATGGGAAGAATAGTTTCACCCACAGCAAGTGGACACCAGTGTCACAATGAGTCATGCCATGCCTGGTACTGTTGGGGACCATCACCATCCTCACAACCTCAGGTCTCTCAGGCAGAAAAATTACTGCCTCTTAAAGAAATAAACAGAATGTTCAGCAGAACATTCCAAGGTACAGGCTTGTGGTCTCACAGCCAGTTAAAGAATAGCTTAGGGATCTCTTTCCTGTTGCAGTTTAACAGCCAGCTAAAGAGTAGTTAACCAGCTCAGGACTATCTCTCCTGCTGCAATATACAGCCAATTACAGGTTAGCTAGACAATTCAGGACATTCCTTCTACTGACCTTCTCACTCTGCCTATGTGCCAGTGGCCATGCCCTGGCTATGCTCAAACCTTACTCACATCCTGCCCATGGTCCTATATAAGCCTCCCCTGAGAAAATAAAATTTATCAGTTTGAGAAAAAAAATAATGCTTTGACTTCAAAATTTAAGTCTAAGGACAAGTTACTGGGGAAAAGGATTTCTAATTTTGTTTCCACAGAAAATGAAAAGCTGAGGATTCCTTCTAGCCTAATGCAGTTTGATCAAACAAGACCCCCTAAAACAGAGTCCCAGGTGATCCAACATTCAAAACAGTTGGGACAAGGCAACCTTACAGATTACAGCCAGGATTTCTGCATCTTCTTCGGATCCCCAATGACAGCGCCTCCTATCAACAGGAAGCAGTTTGGAAAGAACAACACCCAAATTCCCAAATATTGTTTATAAATGTTTGTTGTCATTTAAATGGGCTTGGTTATAAATAGTTAATCATCACAACCAATTCTTTTAAAGGTAAAATGGGGATTATGGCATAGAGATGAATACTTTGTTTTAAAATGGATTTTCATTTATTGATACAATTTAAGGTCAATTTGTGATGTGTATATTTCTTCTTTTGTTTAGGTATTGTGTTTATATAGCTCATTTAAAAATGTAATATATAATTTAATACAGATTATAGATAGATACCTATGATATTCAAAACTTAGTGTTAAGTTAGTTAGGTTTTCAAGATACACAGAGATGTATTTGAGATGGATAGGTATTCTTCAACCTTTCAAATACCTACATAATATGACATTTAAAATGGTTTAGCATTTTTCTTAACAGTGAGGCACAACTGTTCCTGGCAACACCACATGCATCAGAAAGAAAGATGGACCTTGAGGAAACACGTTATGGAATTTGCTTTCAATATGGCAAGACTAGCCATTTAGGCAAGATATTGCTCTTGCCTGGACTGTTTGACTTTATGCTGTATGAACTGGACATGCAGGACTCACAGCAAAGTGACTGCTGATACAAGACTGACATTTCTACATGGTTCCTGCTTCATAGAAGAGTCTGCCAGACAGTCTGAAGGACACAGAGAAAAGTGACGGACAAACTGCCAATACAGATGGACAGTTTAAAGTTTCCTGCTTTGCTGAGGAGTCTGCCAGACAAACTATGGCCTATGGGCTGAAGATGGAAGATTACAGAAGAACTTCAGGTGACTGAGGAGGCAGTGAGTTGTCTCTGTCATTTCTAGAGTTTATTATTATCCTTCTGTGGTCTTTGAAGGAGTTGAAGACAGATAGTTATGGTTATAGTTTTCTTTAGTTAGGATTAAAGATAAGTTACATATAGGATTTCAGACTCACAAAGATAGAATAGATGATGAAATATTTTCTTAAATCTTGCTAAATGTTAATGGACTAAATATTGTTAACTGTGGTTCTTATTTGATAACTGTTTTGTTATACATTTTTTCTATGGTAAGGTTAAACCCTTCTTTTTATTTTAGACAGAAGAGAGATGATGGGAGATGTCATTCTGTAAATATGTTTCTCTCATTGGTTAATGAATAAAGCACTGTTGGCCAATAGGAAAGCAAGATAGGCAAGACTAGGGGACTAGGAGGAGAGAGGAAGTAGGAGGGAGGAGATCCAAGATGGAGGATAGAGAGAACACCAGCCCCTCTCTCTGGTAAGATAAGACCACGTGGAAATACTTAGATTAATAGAAATGGGCTAATAATTAAGACAGAGCTAGCTGATAAGAAACAAGTAACTGGACTACAGCTTTATATCTAAAAAAAAAAAAAAAGAAAAGAAAAAGAAAAAAAATGTTTTATTTTAGTTTTTGTTTCTTTTCCTTTTAATCTTCTAAGTTTACTATGCAGGTAAAGAAAGGTGTTTTCTCCCTTTTTCTTGGAGTCAAAGTGAACTGAAATAAGTGGAAATTTGTAGAGGAAAATGAATACCACACAAACTCTGAAAACTGCAGAAGGGTCAGAGGGTTCAAGCTTCAGCACCCTCAGCAAGAGGAAAAGGAAGACAGAGCAGGGAAGTGAAAACATTTTTAGGGGTAGAATATGATCTTTAGGGGAACTGAGTGGGCTTGAGGGACAGACTATGACCGGGGACAGAGGTAAACACAGAAATTGCAGTCACACTGAAGGTTGTCTTTCTGTGTCCTGGAGTCATTAGAACAGATGCTGTCTTTAAGGAGAATTGTCAAATACCTGTATGCCTGCTTTTTTATGAGCCATCCTTGGTTAATGAGATTTTAGAGAGGGGGGTCCAAGTCAGATAAGGTAATCCACATGGCACTGAGCTTGATAGCTATATGCAAAGGAAGGTCAGACATCACTAGGTTCTAAGGCTGCCAAAGGTTCCCGTTTCCCTTATTTCAAATCACTCATTATAGCTGGACTATAGGGTGCTCAGGACTTTGTGGGGGAGAAGAAAGATTCTGGGTTCCAAGTCAGCCTAGACTACACACAAAGATTCAACCTCATTCTGAAATGTCACGAGTTTGGGTTATTATTTTCTAAGTTCCAACATTCCATTAAATAATTAACCTAATTTATTATGCAACTTTTATTGTTAATCATTCTTATTATTCTTTTATATTCTCATTTTAGTTATTGAAACATTATTTTTAAAATAATATATTTTTAATTTTTATAATTATAATTTTTCTGATTTTTTTCTATTTTAACATTTAATGATTACATTTGTTTTTGATAAATTGTGAATGTTGGTTTAGCATTTCTAATTTTATTTCCACTAGATTTATTTGAAATACTAAATAGCAAAATACAAGTAGTAACCATCCTAACCTAGTGTTAAAATTTGCTCTTATTTGGTATTAAATATAAAGTCATTTGGCATTCAGTAGGTTGTATTTTTACATTATTTAATTACATAATATATTTTATTGTCTCCCAAATGTAAGAGTGAATATAGAAAAGTGTTAGTGCAAACTGCATTTAGCCAGATGAAGCAAACAACCTCACTCTTGAATTGAACATGTCAACTTTTGCACTATCCTAACAGTACCAATGGTGAATGTCATTAAAACTTACCTTATTTCTTCTATGCTGTGGACTTTTATTAATAAAGAAGTGATAGCTATATTTTACTGATTTTTTTTCTTGATCTGTGATTAAATTTAAATCAAAAATACTACAAAGAAGATAACTTAGGAGAAAATAACCAACTGCATTTTGTGTGTATAGTTTAGTAACTGAACACATATTTTTCTATGATTACCAATCATTACATACTAATTATGTATGACACATTTTAGTACACATAGCATCTATCATTTTAGTTTGTTTCTGTATTGAATAAGTGCTTCAGCCTGACTGAATCTACCTTCAGTTGAGTTAGATTGTATATGACAGTTTTATCTTGACAGTTTACTTATTATCAGTGTCACAATACTTTTTTCAAGTCAATTTATTCATTAAATGGCTCTTCACTAATTTGTTATTGCTACTCTTGAATATACTCCTTAGTACTACAATAGTATGTTCTTTGTTTATTTTTCAGTTTCTTTTCTTTTTTTAAATGGAAAAGATTATTCTCCTATAATCAGAAAAGAGCAAGCCTCCAAGAGACAGCAGCCAATAAATACAACAAAATTCATCAAGACAAGCAAAAGGATAACTTGTGGGAGTGACCAAACAATTTTTCTGATTTTTAAAACATTTTCCTCTAAGTATATATGTTCAGCATAGCCCTTTCATAAATCCCCCTCCATTATTACTGCTCCCTTCTCTTGTCAGTCCCCTTTGTCCCCCTGATAGTTTTACTTCTATATACATATCACAAACATATACATATATAAAATACAGAGCCACAAATGAATAAAAACATATATCTGTCTAATACTGGCCTAAGTTACTTAATATTATCTCATTTCTTCTATGTTCCTGCCAATAGCATAGCTTCATTCTTAAGAATGGAAAACAGTCCGTGTACACACAAACCACATTTGTCTACTCAGTTCTCTAATGTTGGGTGCTTAGGCTGGCCCACAACTTAGCTACTGTAAACAGTGCTACAAGGAGCACCAATGTGCAATGTATCTCTGAGATATTGACTTGGAATTGTGGACCCACAATTTTTGCTTTTATTTCTTAATTTGATTCTTTATCATTGCTTGAATGTTTACCTATGTATGTTTCTGTTTTCAAAACAATATAGTTACTTTTAACAATAAAACAAGAAGACTGCTCAGGGTCCCAATTGTTAAGGAAGAAATGGAAATATGTTTCAGTAGAAGAAAAAGCATCTTTTGTGAGCCAATGAAGGAGTAAACTCATATTTTGATGAAAACTAAAAGAAAAGTAAAATAGAAACATTAAAATATCAGCTTTGATAGATCTCTAACAACATATTTAAGACTAAATTAATAATAATGATTGAGAAAAAGTTAGAGGAGGAGTTCATTAAAAACAATTACTAGATGTAGTGACAACAACTACATGGCAGAAGTTGAAAGGAATCTTATCATATTAACCCGATTTGCTTCTTCTACTAAGATATTGAAGTGGCGTAGTAAATACAATCCTCTTCACTTTCAACATAGGAACAAGAATTCACTGGTAATATGAGTGCATCCCCTATCATGAGACATCTGGTCACAGTGGTCATAGACTTGGAATGAATAAAGCTTCCAACCCCACAAAGTTGGATGGAATGAAGTACCCACAAAATCTTGTAATAGCAAAAGAAAATATGAATGAGTAAGTATTAAATCAATTATAAATCTAAGAGCAAGTCTAAGTAGGAGAACTTTATGAATGAACAATAAAAATGATTATTTTTATCTTTATCAAATACTACTTTACATTTTTATATGAGAAGGGGGAGTGGTGGGGTCATAGTCCATATAGGGTCAATGCTCTTCTCCAACCTTTGCTAGGGATCTGGGTTTGAACTCTACTCTTCAGGCCAGTGAAGCAACAGCTTTAGCAGCTGAGCCATCTCTGAAGTGCCATTTAAAAGTTTTAAAAAATTCTGAGCCTGTTCAAAATGGGATATTTTGGAGTTCAATGTGTTTAATTTCCTCATGAGACATAATAATTGAGTGTTATAAATCACTAACATGTTACAAAAAGGGAGAAATTAAGTAAGAGTTTTAAATTGAAACAAAAACTTTAATAATGCTAAAGATTTATTCTAATTAAAAAATTACCTTCTTGTTGGGCATTGGTGGCTCACACTTTTAGCCCCAGCACTTGAGAGGCAGAGGCAGGTAGATCTCTGTCTAGTCTACAGAGCCAGTTCCAGGACAATCTCTAAAGCAGTAGAGAGAAACTCTGCCTCAAAAAAAAAAAAAAAAAAAAAAAAAAAATTTACCTTCTCTTTTCTCTGCCATGCACCTATTCAACTCTTGAATTGTTGTTTTATCAATAGACATATGTACTTTAAGTTCATCCAATTCATCTTGAAGAGTCATCCTATGAAAAGTCCAAGCAATTAACAATTACATAAAATGTTAAGGAAAGATATAGAATAAACCAAACAAATGAAAAATAGAAAATTGTAAGAGTAAAAAAAATATAACAATTACATATATTCAATTACATGTTCTCAGCATGCAAAGAGATTTCTACGAAGTATTTTTTAGTATGTACTATGAACTTCATTACAACAAGCAAGACAAATACGTACGTGTGTGTGTGTGTGTGTGTGTGTGTGTGTGTGTGTGTTTGTGTGTGTGTGTGTGTGTGAAGACTGACTCAGTGTATAGCCTGAGCTGGCTTTGAATTCACAATTTTGCCTTGGCCTCTTGTATGCCAGGATTGTAGGTACATACCAACATAACCAGCTAAAGTATTTGTGTGTGGGGGGGGGTGCAAGTGGGTATAAGGCAAAAGGTAACAGAGACTACAAAAGAAAAATGTTAAAGGGAGAGTATAACAGGATATAAGTGACATGAACTTGGAAAGAAGGCTACAGTGGAAGGAAAGGGTGGAAGGGTCCAATGGGTAATTAAGAGTGGCAGAAGGGAAGCAGGATTAACAAAGACAATTTATGTTTAAAAACATTATACTTAGGTTAAAAACCTAATACTTAGCCTCCTAATTTCTTCCTTCCTTCCTTCCTTCCTTCCTTCCTTCCTTCCTTCCTTTCTTTCTTAACATCATGTATCAGGGGCTAGGGAGATATCTCAGTCTGTAAAGTGTTTTCTGTATAATCAGACTCTGAGTTCTATTTCTCACACTCTTATAAAGAGCATAAAAAGCCATGAAGGGTAGTGTATGCTTGTAACCCTTGTGCTAGGGAAGCAGAAACAAGAGGATCCCTGGAGCTCACTGGACCATGGACCCAGACCTGAAAAATCCTATTTCTACAGTAAGTCTGAGTAATGCAAGGAAAAAAACATGGTGTTAAGATTAGCCTTGGAGATTATGAGAAAATCTGCTGTCAGTCAAACTCAGAACTGACTGATGCCTCCCAAGTCATTATCAAGAGAAAGTTACATAAGTAGGCCATCACATAGTATAAGAAAAGATGATAATCCCAATAAAAGATAGTTCTCAATACAGAAATATTAGGGAACAAATGAAGAAAACACCAACAGTAAATTGAACTGAAGAAAGCAGCATGGGATCTGAAAGAGGCTTGGCACAAGTCAGGAAGGAGATGAGAAGCTAGCTCTAACAGTCAAAGGGAGACTTAGCTGTATTCCCAGTAACAGGGCAGATCAATGGAGGAAATAACAACAGAGCTTGAAGACAGATCTTTTGAATAGTTACTGTCAGACAGAAAGAACTAAAGAGAATTAAAAAGGCTTGAAGAGAAAACATAAAAGTTTGAGACACACTTAATATCTAAATATTTGGATCTTTGGCATACCAGAGGAAAAAGAGATACAGGATGAGAACACTATGAAAATGATAATAGCTTAAAACCTTTCAGATCTTGGGGAAGACATGAATATCCTAGTATAAGGAACATTTAGAACTTCAAATACACATGGCCATAGAAGTCACTCAACATGACATAATAAAGGTAAGTTGTTAAAGTGCAGGACAAAGAAGGGAGGGAACATTATATATGCAAGAGAGTAACACATAAATAGAAATACATTAGACTAAAGGTAGATTTATCAGAAGGAACTCTATGTGCCAGGAGAACATGGAGACACGGGTTTCAGGTCCTGAAAGAAAATAATTTCAACCAAGTTAGTTGACCCAGAAAGGTTTTGTTTCACAGTAAAAAAAGTAAGGACCTTCAAGAAAAAGGAAAAATCAAGGGAATTCATGGCCAATAAGATGCTCCAGGGAGTTGTATACCCAGATGAAAAAGAATTCTGTAAATGCCATCATTAAGAACATAAATCACCCTCTCCTGCCAGAGCCCACCCAGCATAACCCCAAGTGCCCCTCCCCTCCTTGTCACCTTAATTCAGCTCTTCCACCAGAGGCCAAAACAGCACACTCAGCCTGTTCAACCCCAACTGCCCCTCCTCTCCTCCTCATATCCCATCACACACCTCTGGGGGAGATCTCCACCCATGAGAGGCCTGGCCAGCTCCTAGAAAACTAGGTAAGTCACCACCTTACCACCCCCCTTACCTGCTGCACCCACTCACCATAACGTTACTGCCCAAATGTGCCCCCCGCCACCCGTTACCTTATTCAGCCCATGTGACTTCTTCAGGGGTCAAGGCCTGAAAATAGCACAAACAGCTCTCCTTGTGTTAAGTCCTTGGGGATTCTTACCCACTTGACAAAGACCCATGAACTTTTCGCTGCATGATTCTGAGCACAATTCTGGAAGCTTATGAGCTACATGTTCTCCTACCACAGGATCAAGCAATTCCACTCTTAGGCATATACCCGGAAGATGCACATCCAAGCAACAAACACATCTGTTCAACTATGTTCATAGCAGCATTATTTGTAATAGCTAATGTGGTATATCTACACAATGGAATACTACTCAGCAGAAAGAAAAACAAAAACAAAACAAAACAACGGAATCTTGAAATTTGCAAGCAAATGGATGGAACCCAGTCACAAAAAGATGAACATGGTATATACTCACTCATATATGGTTTTTAGACATAGAACAAAGGATCACCAGCCTACAATTCACACTGACAGAGAAACTAGGATACAAAGAGGAACCTAAGAGATTCATACAAAGTCCCTCACAAAAGGGGAAAGGGACAAGATCTCCTGAACATATTGGGAGTGGGCAGGCAGTGAGTGGAGAAGGAGTTAGGAGAAGGAGAAGGGGAGGAGAGGAGAACATGTGGGACCAAGAAGATTGACTCGGGGACAAACAGATTAGAGCAAAAAAAAAAAAAAAAAAAAAAAAAAAAAAAAGAGAGAGATACCATAATAAAGGGAGCCATTATAGTTTTGAAGAAGAGAAAACTGACTCTAGAAAAATGTCCAGAGACCTACAAGGACAACCCCAACTAACAATCTGAGCAACAATAGAAAGTCCTTAAATGTCCTTCCCTGATAATGAGATTGATAACTAACTTATAAGCCATCAAAGAGCCCTCATCTAGTAGCTGATGGAAATAGAAGCAGACACCCACAACTAAACACTGAGCCAAACTCCTGAATACAGTTGCACAAAGGGAGGAGTGATAAGAAAATGGATCAATACCAGGCTACAGAAACACACAGAGACAGCTGACCTGAACAAGGAGGTGCTACTGGGCTCCCAGACTGATAGCTGGGAATCCAGCATTGGACTAACTCAGACCCCCTGAACATGGGTCTCAGTTAGAAGGCCTGAGCACTCTAAGGGACCTCTGACAGTGGAACCAGGATGTATTCCTGGTGCATGAAAGGACTTTGGGAGCACATTCCCCATGGAGGGATACTCCCTTAGCCTAGAGGCAGGAGAGGGAGGGCCTAGACCCTACTTCAAATGACTTGACAGATCTTGATGATCCCTCATGGAAGGCATCACCCTCCTTGTGGAGTGGGGGAATAGGACAGAAGGGGGTCAGGGAGCATGGGAGAATGGGGAGGGTGAGGGAACTGGGATCAATATGTAAAATAAGAAAAAAATATAAAATAAAATTGCATTTAAAGAAAAGAAAAAAATTCCTTTGTAGCTTGCAAGATTGCTTATGCTTCTAGACATAGAGATATAGATTAAAAAAGGTAGTAGTAGGTACTGGTGGGAGAGCTGGAAGATGGAAGGGGAAAGAAGCTAGAAACAAACTGGTAATCATTGTAATCATTTTTAGGAAGCAATAAACAAAAACCAAAACAAAACCAAAAAAAAAAAAAAAAAAAAAAAAAAAAAAACAGCTGTAAAACTTTTCATGCAAACCATTGAATCTGCATAAATAAAGATAGCTCATGCTCTCCAGGGCCACTTGTTTGAATGACAACAGCTGGTCAAAATGTTTTCATGGCAAGAACTTTACACATCCATCCCAGGTCATGGAACCAAAGACAAAGGCCTCCTGAATGCCACATCTCTGGGGTTAACCTCCTATCCAGCAGATGCCAGGACAGCATCATGAAGGTCAGCTAAGACTGTCCTCAATACCACCCACACTTGACCAGCATAACTCCAACTCCCCCTCCTCTGCCATTACCATATCCTTGCATGGATCTCTGCAGAATTTTCTGCACCATCAAAGTCCAGGACAGACACCTGAAAAATCAGCTGCCAGGCAAGCATCCTGAAACTCAGAGGATCCCAGCCAGATCAGAGGCCATGCACATAGCCAGAACTCCAGCCCCAAAGTTGGGTAGCAACAGCCTGCTGGACCAGAGGCCATCTAGGCCACTAGAATCTAGCCTACAATGCAGGCAGAGACCCTCCACTCAACCACAGGCCATGGCAGTGGGAAAACCAGAAAAGAAACTGAAACCAAAGAAGAAAACACCCATCAACAAAGACAAATCCAGAAATTGGCACCTAGACCTATAGTCACTCCAAACCAGATGCCTAAACATTAGTGTAAGAACACAATCAACAACAGCAATGGCAATATTCACAACCAGAACATAGCCATCCCACTACAGCAAGCCCTGTGTATTCCAACACATTTGAAGTATAAGAAAATGACATTAAAATCAGCTTTATGAGGATGATAGAGTTATTTAAAGAGGAAATGAATAAATGCCTTGAAGAAACTGATGAAAAGACAATAAAAATGTAAGAAAGCCATAAATCTCTCAAGCTGTAAGCAAGCCCCCTCAATTAAATGTTTTCCCTATGAGAGTGGCCATGGTCATGGTGTCTCTTCATAGCAGTTGAAACCCATAGATCTTATGAGATCATCATGGATTAAAGCTATATTTCAATAAAAATAGAAACAACAAAAAGCTTACAAGTTCATGGAAAATGAATGCACAATATACTCAAACTCATGAGACATAGTGAGAGTGGTGCTAAGAGGAAAGTTCACAGAACTAAGTGCCTTCATAAAGAACTTGGAAAGATCTCATACTACAGACTTAACTGCACA